GATGATGAGAATGAACCAATTGACAATCCCAAATGGGGAAGGATTAAGGACAGGTACCAGCGAGTTGTGGGGAGGGATGGAGGGTCCCGTGGTGAGAGGTTTAGGAGGGAGAGATTTGACAAGCCGGATGTGAGGCAGTGGAACAATCAGGAGAATTGGGGAAGGAAGACAGGTAAGGAAGCAGGGGAATCATCGCTGCCAAAGATGGTGGGGCAAGGAGTTTATGGTGTTGGGCCGGTCCTTGCAGCACTCACGGCTCGGAGGAGGGAGTTTTATGCATTGTATAGACAGGAAAGTATGGATTTGAGTGGGAACAACAAGAAAAGGAAAGATAAGAAGGCAGTTGAGAAAGTGCTACGGATGGCTGAGGAGATTGGGCTGAAGGTTATTGAGACTTCAAAGCATGATCTTAACATGGTGGTGGATAACCGACCACACCAAGGTGTGGTGCTCGATGCATCACCCTTAGAAATGGTTAATATAAAGGAGTTAGATCCAGTCAGGGTGGAAGGTGGAAAGGCACCTGTGTGGATAGCCTTGGATGAGATTATGGATCCTCAGAATTTAGGAGCCATTATGAGGTCTGCCTACTACTTTGGTGCTCAGGGTGTTGTTTTGTGTGCTAAGAACTCTGCTCCATTAAGTGGAGTAGTGAGCAAAGCTAGTGCAGGTTCGCTTGAGTTGATTGAGCTACTCTCCTGCAGAAACATGATGCAGTTCTTGTCTTCATCAGCTGAAAATGGTTGGCGAGTCCTTGGTGGTACCATTGCTAACAAAGCTGTACCTCTCTCTGAAATGGAAATAGGGGTGCCAACTATTCTTGTGATGGGTAGTGAAGGCACTGGTTTGAGACCCCTGGTTGAGCGATCCTGCACACATCTGGTCAGAATACCTGGAAACGTTGATGTATTTGTTGAAGGAGCAGATGCAGATGCTGGGGAAGGTGACAGTTCTTCTAGTAATCAAGATTTGAGATCATTCCTCGCGGTGGAGAGTTTGAATGTTAGTGTTGCAGCAGGAGTGTTGCTTTATCATCTTGCTGCAAAAGATGCCTGCCCCGGAAGCGATAAGCCTAGTGTTGTTCTGATGTAAGGATAGTTATTACAAATTTACAGCTAGTGATACTGTGTGATCCATGCATGTCATAGTTTTTACAAATTTACAATTGCCTAATTTAATGCTTTTGCTAATGAATTCTTTATTTCCCATTTCATGCTTTGATTCTTCTGGTTGAAAATAGAACTTCTGAGATAGGGGTAATGATAGTTTCATAGTTCTTTGAAAAATACCTTATCTGATTCTGAATAGGTTTAGTGGGGTTTCGTGCTGCCTGAACTAGTATTCTAGACTGGTCAGTAACTCAGTATCTGATAATGTATGGAAAAAAGAAATCAACCAAGGTCCAAGGTGATTTGTTGCTAGTTACTCTTTTCCTTGATATAACTGTGGTGTATTCCACAGCAATAATGTTCATTTATGTTACTGGATCAGCTTCCTGATCATAGCACATGGTAAAAAGTATTCTGCTCAATCGTTTCAACCTCACAGGCTCACACTATATTATCATCCTTTGGCGTTTAGACTTCATATTAATGACCCTGTTTATTGCTGAAAGTTTCAACTGTGTCATACTGTAGCTTGAGCCATCGAATCTGTTTCAGGTGGTTTGAACAATTTTTCCCCTTAAAACATATACAGGCCTATATTTTTTATTTGTGCTGGATGCTGCACATTCCCTTGCTAAGTATTTTAATTATTGTTGTATATTGTCTTAACTGTTAGCAAAAGCTTTATATGTGTTTTTCCTTGGGCGAATTCGACTGACCTCAACTGAACACAGCCTACCATTCCTATGTTGAACACAGCCCTTATTACAATCTTACCATATACTGATGCTAAATTGTGTGGTTCTTGTACTTACCATTTTGCTAGTATGCAAAGCTTAAGACTGGCACAGTCTGTTTTGCTAATGCCTTATATAGGAAAGAACAAAACAAAATTACATGGAAACATTCTGTTGTTTAGTTCTTCAGGTTTTCAGTTCGCTGTTGACTTTCTAGGCAAGTGGGTTTTACCTCCATGTACCTAACGAATAACACATAAGCTGGGGCCCCAAAGCTTGATTTTGAGGCCATTGGTCCAACATTTGCCGCTGATACAAAAATTGTATAGGTTGCTTGGTACCATTCTAATATACACGGGCTTAGCCTATGGTTCATGGTTGTACCACTCCTTACCCACACTCCATAACACTAAAGTGTCTAATCCGAGTTATTCAGTCTTTGTGCTCCATTGTCATTCAATTCATGATGAATGAAATTCAAATGTACAAGTCATTTGACCTTAATGGCCTCCTTCACATTGTGTGGTACTCCATCCGGAAAATAATGCAACTCTAGCATAGCACCGAGTCAAACCATTTTGAGTTTGACCAAGTCTATACAAAAAAGTATCAATATTTATGATACCAAATAAGTTTCATTAGATTTGTCATGATATATATTTTCATAGTATACCTATTTTGTGTTATAAATATTAATAGTCTTTTCTATAAACTTGGTCAAAGTTTAGAAAGTTTGACTAGGAATAGAGCTAGAATTGCATCCTTTCTCGGACAGAGGTCATAATTTCAGGAATTACATACATGCTTAGCATGCATAGTTATCTTTTTTCCTTTCTCATGGTCTCTGTGCTGCCTAGGGATTGAGTGGCCCTCTAGCTGAGAACTGAGGTACTGCAGTTCAGTACTCCCTCTGTTGCAAAATATAAGACATTGTTTAACTCGGCAATGTCTCTAAAACTAAACTTTGGCCCTTCATTCTCCTATATACTAAATTGTTTGTAGCAATAAAATCATAATAAAGTACTTTTGTTCTGAATCAAATCGTATCATTTTGTACAATTATTTTTTTAATCGTTGGTTCAAGCTTATGAGGTTTGAACCTAAAAAAATGCATGTGGCACCTTATAAAATGAAATGCAGGTGTTATTATTGTTTCATGCTATTTGTGAAGATCGATAAATAACTGGCTATTATCATGCTCTTCTTTATCCATATGATGTATCATATATGTACATATCCAGGAGGGGTTGTACCACTCCTGTTTCTGGGAAAAGAAAGAACTGACTATTAATAGAAGTTGGAGAAACATGCGACAATGTTGAAAGTTGTGTTTGTCCAGAAACAGGACAGATTTGCAAATTGTAAATGGTTATATTCTGCGTGTTGGTTTCTTCACATCGATAAAGTCTGAATCTGATTCTGACCTGTGTTGAGTAAACACATTTAAGCATCAAAATTTTGAAGAAAATGTAAGGATGAATAAACGCTTGTCACCTGCTCTTATTTTATAGGTTATGTGTTGCAGTCAAGTTGGATCAACTACCAATGAGAGGTCTTCAAGTTTTAGTGTAGTTTTGAACTACTAGATTTGCCAGCTTTTAAGTTTTGGTGGCAGTTTTTTTTGTAATGCTATTGCTTTGTTCTGTGGCACACTGTTGATTTTGCTAGTGTTTCTACCCAAGACTCACTCTACTCAACTACCTACTTAATTTATAGATCACTTTGTACACATGGTTGGCAAATCAAAAGAAACAGGATGAGTGGGTTGACACGAAACCCACTTGCATCTCTATTTATGCTGTAAAGGAACTGTTTCAATTCCTGTTCTTCTTTGTTGTAGCAAATAGAATCTGTGCACCATTTTTTTATGTGCTGTTATTCTGATTTATTGTTTTCTAATATCTTGCATCTTCAAATTTAGTTGAACTCATGCTAGTCATCAAGCCGACACAGGTTGCATTTACTGGTGTGACCATTCCCTGACTATAATATGTTACATATTCTCTTGCGATCAAATGGCTAGTTTATTGTATTTAGGTTATCCTACTTGAGGGCATGCTTCTGAGTATCTGGGATTGGTGGGTGGGTGCGTGCCTGTGCGTGTGTGAGAGAGATAAACATGTCATGAAGTTAGTTATTGGTGGTGTAAATAAATAAACTACCAAACCATATGCCATTAAAAAGAGGCCAGCTGGTGTGGCTTGATATTAACCATGGATGTTCTTTAATTCAGTTCTCTTGCTTAATGAAAATGATAACAGTGACCTCCTTATATGTGGGAGCTAGAGTCAGAGCTAACAAAAGAACAGTGGATAGTACCAACACTGTTCTCCTTCGTGTTCTTGACTCTCTTCTTAATATACCGATACGCAGCTCTCAGCGTGTGAGAAAAATATCAACACTGTTCACTGAGCTTGTTGCAGACACAACCATTCGTTTTTTATGCCAGTGCATTGAAAATCTGGCAATACAGGGAAAGGGAACTGAACTAGTTACACGGCCTCACCTTGTGTAAGGTTAATGTCTATGAGATGTTCACATGTGCTAGCATATCATTAGGATTTATGGATTATCATCATATAAACTATATAGCCTTCTTTCATTTGATGTGTCGATCTTGGAATGCCTAATTGTCGATGATGCCAATTGCGTGTGCAACTTTACACTTCTCTGTCCTGTTGCATAATTTCTTTATTTATTGGTTTCTGGGTTAATTTTTGTACTGTTAATCTATAACTCAACTACAGGAAGGTTCTCCAAACAACGTTGGCTTTGAAATTTGGGTTGTCTGATCCGTTTTTGTGGCTTTCACTAGCACAAGTGTACAACAGAACTCGGCTTCGAAAAGAAGTATAATATTTATTCCATACAGACACAGGTAAATATACATTAGAACTGCAAGCGGCAACATGAACTCACAACACTGCAGATACAGATGTCAGGCAAGGATATTGCAAAATGGGCTAAGATCCTTTTGTAATTCACCCCATCTCTTCTACTTTTCCTGCTGTCCGGAATTTAGTGATGGTCCAGTGACAAAAACATTTCATTTGTCCCCAATTCCTATGCCTTGAAGCATCCGGGTGAATATTGCTCACTAGAAGAGGACTCTCAGGAGGCTGAAGGTGCTTCAAGTCTGTGAGGACTAGTTGGCAGTTTATTTTTTGGGTAAGATATTCGTCTTATTTTGGACCTCCTTTTTCAACAGCTGAACACCGTAGGATTCTACTCGTAATATCTGGTTCCATGCTTTCACCTTGCAACTTAAGTCCTCTGCTGTACCGTACATAGCTGTTCTTAAGTTTTGTTTGTGAAAACTGTGCAAAAGGATGAAGCTTGCTTTGTTGAAATTTGCATGAAGTTTGGCATGAATAATATTCCACTTTTCAAGTGATAGGCATGATTGCATGAATGGTGATAAGCACTTAAGAAGTGTCACTTGATGTGTTGTCTCTATCATGCTAGAAAACCAATGCCACCTTCTGTTTATCTTGACTTCTTTGAGAGCTTCTGGGGGTATGGTCACTGGGCCACCAGGGCAGCTTGGACCACTTCCCGGTTTGGCATCTGGTGTCATCAGGTCCATGTAATTATTTATGACCTGGATAATGTTATATACTCACGAGAAGTGATTCACTGATTCCTTTACAAGCAAACAAAAGGACTAGTTGCCCCTCGTGTGTGAAGTCACAGTCCTGATACTATTGGCATATAGCACTGGCAACCCAGGGCCTGGCGACCCTGGGCCTTCGCCCAGGCTCCTCGGCGTTGAACTCCACTAGATCTAATTATTGTGTAGCCCATAAATAGAGGAGATTAGGCCTGCTTAGCTGCTTAGCCCACTACTAAACCGCTCAAGCTCCTTGGGTCTGCTACTGGCATATAGGATAGCAATTTGGCACTCAACAGCCATGAATGCACTAGCACATGCTTTGCTTCCATGGTTTGTTATTGCTTATGGTGCTTGAGACAACATTTGAAGGGGGAGGTTAGAAGTGGAGACCTTGCTCTTTTCCCAATTTTTGTGTGTCCTAGAGTAATTGAAAATACCACATGAAATTGCTACTCTGTAGATGCCATGTCGCAGTGACACTAGCATGTCAGTGTTCTCTTTAGCGCATTGGTGAGTACTACTAACGATTGCGGTCTGGACATTAGATTTGCATGTTGGGATTACAAATCTGTCGCACAGAACAAGTAATTTTACATTGGTAGATCTTGCATTTGCAAACTCTCTGAGAAGTCCAATGCCCATGTAGAATTACAATAGGACACTACTCTACAGCAACGAATCACATGGTAGCCTAATTTACAAAATATCCAGGACCTCTCCATGCATCTGAAATGCTAGTTCATCTCATTAGATTAGTCTCTACAGGCAAAAAATTAGGTATCATCACATCACAGAAGGGGAATGGTCCGGGTTCAGTTTGCTCACATTCCAAATGATAGAATTTTGTCACTGTTTCAGGCTTTCAGCAATCTGATCCTCTTCTAGGAGCCACTGCAATCTGTAAAAAAGGAAAAGCATTGAAAGGAAGGTGATGCTTAGTTTGGAGCAATGAAACATGTAACTGAAAGCCGCTCATATCACTTGAGGTGGCCTTGTGCTTACCAAACCATGGGAAAGCTCTGAGCTCCTCAAAACCCTCAGCCTTTTAGCAGTTGACACAAATACACTGCAGGGATTACATACAAAGAAACACTTTAGATGGTGCAATAAAGTAGGCTTCTATTATATTTCAAACTTCAAGTTAGTGTTAGCAGTATTTGATGATTCAATTTTAGAGAAGGCACGTGAATCAACATGTTTACTGAGTTGGAGGTGCTGACATTTTCCTTTTTATGTTGGTAGGGTGTGGTTGAATTGTAAATGACAAAGGAATCTTACTTCCACGGCACGTCCCCTACCAGCATCCTGTCTCCTTCATTGTCTTCGTAAACTAGAGTATATTCACCAGATCCATCCAATAATTGAGAAAATATTTTTTCAGTGGCCCCTAGCTGTGTACTCCCAGCACTAGATAGATCCTTTTGAGCTGCAACATAGGCAAAACAGTGTTAAAGGAAAGAAGATAAGAACTTTGTGTTGTAAAGGCGCACAAATTGAAAGCTCTAAAATGAATCTAAGTAATTGGTTCATTCGAACTGATTGTTGATTTTGCACCTTCAAGAAAACCATGGAAAAGCTCTTTGACGCCCAATGATAGCCTCTCGTAGCTGTCATAGGCTCCAAGGTCTACTTTCCTTCCAATGGGGATTCCATCCATGTTGATTTTAACAAGAGGATTCTTCTTGCAGGCAAGCTTCTCCTTCATGCTAGCTTCACTACTTTGTGGCTCAGTGGATTGTTTAGATGAACTGCCATGAGCAAGATTTCTCCTGAAGGATCTGACTGGAGGCCAACCGACAACCGGAGCTGAAGGCCTTCTGTACCAGATACAGGGCCCGGTGAGTTAGTCTGTGTGTGAAATAGTATAGCTGACTATACCATTGATAATGTTAGACGTCGAATGATTGATGCTATTATTATTCACTTTCAACTTGTGTAGTGCAACTGTTCTAACAAGAATACCATAGCGACCATAGTCCAAAAGAGAAGTGCTCAAGGCGCAAAGCTACACCGAAAAGTTCAAGACCACAAGTATAGGAAATGATAAAACCACCCAAAAAAAAACTCATTGCACTTGAGTAAAAGCTGAGCACCTTTTATGGAAAAAAAGAATGATATGATTTGACAAACTTAAGGGAACAACTTTTGGGCAAGAAAGTTAAATCCTTAAGGGACCTCATTTTGACCTAGTAAAAAGAAAACATAGCAAAAGCGTCTCTATGTCTATCATTACCTTCCCTGGGCATGTGGTCTGTTGTGCACAGTTGCAGCAGCAGGGGCATGCTGTAATGTTGGCGGGCAGAATCCTTTCTTTCTCTCGCTCGCGGCTGTTATCTTCTCGTCCAGTGCTAGTTCGTTCCCACATCCAGCTCCAGCCTGCTGCTTGTGCTCATCACGACCTTTAAACAATAGAACAAAGTATCATTACAATCTTCAGGCAACAGAACAAAATACTATCATAGAGCTTTGAGCAAGAGAAGTATTTCGTTTCTATGTTCCTGATCTCTAGTAAAACAAGAGCACAAGACAAGAATACTGCTAATAAGGTGCTAGGTACCTTCTGTTTTGGCCTCAATGGTATCTAAGAAACCCCTCTTTGTCCCAGTTGCAGTAGTGTTTATTGCAGGCTTGGAGGGTTTATGTGGGAAGCAACCAAGCGAGAGAGCCGGAATCTCTCGCTGTATCCCTTCATCTCTTGACGCTGCTGTTGTCGTCCCTTCTTCTAGGAGACCCGGAGGACCGAGTTTGAGCTCTAGCTGCTTGTCCTCCTCGCTCCCAAAGCCTGTGTTCCTTGATCTTCCTGCGCCTTGTGCTTCCCTCCCCTTCCATTGTTTCCCATCCGGGATAAGATCTAGCAGCCGAGGAAGAGGTTCTCTTGCTTTGGAGTCTCCCATGGAGTGGTTCTTGGTGAGCTAATTCGGGGGGCTTCAGGAGTCAAAAATAACACCACCCCTCTTAGAATAGGATGATATATATATTAGGCAAAGAGTGGTGTGCAACTCGTTGTACCCTCAAACTTAGGCCGGAGAAAGTGAGTACTACGTGACGCAGCAGGGAAGCCTATGGTGAGGTCAAAGCGAACATCGAAAAGACAAAGCACGGGAAAGGGGGAATGATGAGCTCACTCAAGGCAAAGAAAATGGAATAAGTGGCTTGCTTATTTTAGCAACAATACAGTACTATGCGCTGATGCTGCGTGCGCCGATCGAGCAAGTGCCGGGCGAGGTGATGGGGTGCCTCCTTGGCCTGCGCCCCGGACATACACCTGTGTGGTGCTCCTCGCCGTGGTGGCGTGTGGAATGGTTCCACCCACGCCCGCCTCTCTCTAGCGCGCACGGGACCACGTACTACGTAGCCGCCTCTTTTTACCGCTGGCAATCCACTAGAGTCTCCTGTATTCCTGCCTCCTAACTCTCCCCGTTCATGCTTATCATCAGGAACAGCTGATCGAAGCAGCTAGCTTGAGCAGTTGTCTTGGTTGACAAAGCCGTGCGTGTTGACCACATACATGCATGCACTCGTGGCAGCACTGCACAGAAATGAAGCAAGAGAAAACTAAAGAAATAGTTTCATGACGTTGTTATTAAGATAATGAAACTTAGATGAAACACTCATTTTTAATACAAAGTTTCATTCTAGAGTTTCATAGACATTTAATATCATGACTCATAGATAGTTGATAATCGTACCACGAGACTTTGATCCCCATAAAACTCTCTACTTTTATGAAACTCTTATCATCTCTCACTTCATTAATACGGTGTCACATCGGCATATTTAATGCCCATGAAACTCTGATGAAACCCCAGGCCACTTTCAGTGGATAGTTTCATAGCATTGTTACCAAGACAATGAAACTTAGATGAAACATTCACTCTCAGGCCAGTCTCAGTGGGGATTTCATAGCCCAGTTACCAATGCATCCATATTTTGAAAATAGTGCGGATTTAGTTTCATCCCCATAAAACTCTCTTTACTCCCGTGAAACTCTTATCATCTCTCTCTTTATCAATACGGTACCACATCAGCCTATTTAATGCCCATAAAACTCTGATGAAACCCCACTGAGACTGGCCTCAATGTAAAGTTTTATTCCAGAGTTTCATAGACATTTAATTTCATGACTCATAGATAGTTGATAATCGTGGCATGAGAGTTTCATCTCATTTCTCCTCCCATGAGACTATCTCCAACAACAACACCCAAAAATACAAGACCTATTTGACCTTTGGGTAGCGCTACAGGCAAATGGTTCAATAACCATTCGGTATCTTCTCCAACAACATGACCCAAAAGAGAATCCTTTCTGCAAATGGTTTTCGTGAGAGAAGATGCTCATATTTTGGTTGCGCCTCTCAGACAACCAAAAATGGGTCTCTCGAATATGTAGTCTATTGGAGGCCAATTTTAGGTCTCTATCTACCTATTTTTGGTATGGGTGCTCATATGGATCACTTGTTGAAGTCAGTCTGACGATCAACAAGAGTTAATTCCCAACTGTTGAGTACGCATCAACCGTGCAAGTTGATTGAATAGCGTCATATTTTGCCCGGCAATCCAGGGACTTGATTTTGGCGCGACGTACTGTTAGGTCTGTTGACCCTGTTTATTAGCTTTGATGAGGGCGTTATCCGGAGTAGTATCTATCACTGATGCACGCATGCATCCATAAATGATTACCTCATGATCTACATAATCAGCCTATTCGCTTGTTGGTTTCAGCCAACTCAAACCAGCCAGTCAACAGTATTTTTCTCTCACAATAAACCAGCATCAGCCAGCCCAAACCAGCCTAGAAACCAACCAGCGAACATGAATATGTATCAAACGGCACGCATATCCTTTAGCATGGCTCTCTGCTCTGCAACGTCCCAAGCTATTGACGGGCTCTCGCTTCCGTCCTTGTCTGCTGATCTACACCACGCGTGTGCAGTACTGCACAGAGCATGGACTTTTCTTGCTCATCATCGATTCAGTAAGCTTGTCTTCATCATTCTCAAATAATGTAACTCGGTGTTTTCCCAACTTGCAATAAACATTAATGTTGCCATTAGCTATGAGCCTATGACCCGTTAACCAAGTCTTTAAAATGAGCAACAAAACACGCTAGTGCAACTCTGCAAAAAAAAAAAGGTATTGTTTTGGATCTTTCAAGTGGTCAGAACCGCTTTCAGCGCTAATTGGTAAACTTGTTATAGACCTATAATAGAACCCTCGCGTTATCTAGGAAATTGCTTAATTTTCGAAGATGAATGCCGTCAAGTTGCTTTCATAGTTCAGTGTAGATGTTATAGGCCCCGTTCGCTTCGCTGAAAAAACAAGACGAAACACTGTTCCGGCTGATTTGTTGTGAGAGGAAAATACTATTTCGGGCTAAAAAATAAATTGAAAAGTACGAATTATAAAAGAAGCGAACACGACGTAAGAAGTTTAACAGGACATGATCACGTAACATGCTTTTGATTGAATAGAGAGTAGTACGTTGCCTCCATAGTCCCATCCATCGCTAATCCAACCGTGCGGCCTTTGATCTAGTCATGTTAATCCGGCGGGTCACTTTATTCTACTCTTATCAAGTGTCAAATCTGTTAGGCACTGAAACCGAAAGGCACAGCAGTACCGTATATATTTATGCCACACCGCGCGTGCCGAGTCATTAATTTCGACAAGGAGGCAAAGAGCGGCCACCCAATCCCTCATATCGACCTCCCTCTGATTACTCAAAGCTCACACGCAAGCTCCACCTCATCACCACCTTACCTGCTTCGTCCTAAACGAACAAAAGTGTCTGCAATGTGGTACGGTGCAGGTATGTACGGAGTACTGACAAAGAAACATCTGTCCAAATTGACAGGTAGCCAAAAATCAGACTCGGCGCGATTAGTTCGGCAGCGCGATTAGTTCGGCAGAGTTTGCATACACGATTCTATTTCGTTTGTATTTGTGAATTATTGTCTAAACATTGACTAATTAGGCTCAAAAGATTCGTCTCGCAAAGTTAAAGTAAACTGTGCAATTAGTTTTTGATTTCGTCTATATCATGCATGTACCATAAGTTTATGTGACGAAGAATCTTCTTTTTGTATAGTGCACTTTTGGAGAACTAAACAAAGGCCTATATTATTGAGGTGAAGTTTGTTCACCACTTAAGCACGTAGCCTCTGACAGCCAACACCAACGTCGACACCCCCCCCCCCCCAAAAAAAAAACTGCCACTCGAGTTTCACACGATGAAGCGGGAGCTGCTGTAGAACTTTTCAACAGGAATGATGTGTTCGTGTTGTGCTGTTTGGTGGCAGAGCTAGCTGGTCAAAACACCAGCCTGCGGTACAGCGGCAGCGGTAGCACGGCACGGCACCAGGGTCCAGGGATGATTCGTTCGTGTTGTGCCGTTGTCGACTGTCCTTTGCGCCACCACCATCACAAACGCGACACACACTCACTCAGACTCGGCAGAGAGAGGAGAAAGATTCGCGCGGTCGTCGCTCTGTGTGGACTGTGGCCGCACGTAGGACGTGCACGTCTATTGTCGCGCGTCACTGCGGCAGTTGCGCGAAATGATGAGGCGCGCGGCGCGGTGTGCAGGCGGGTCAGGCAGCCGGACGCGGCCGATGATCATCAGCAAGGCAGCCACGGCCAGGGGGCAGGGGCCGAATTGATGTGCACCGGACAACGCAGGCCGGAGGGGGGGCTGGACTGCGATGCGATTCGTCACTGGTCAGATGTGACTGCTATGCGATGCGGTGAGGTGCTGCGATGCGATGCAAGGGTCGGAGCGCGCGCGCGCGTGACGCCTCCGTACGTCGCAGGCGTCGCAATTCGCATCGTCGGCCTCCGCAGCCCGCACGGTCAGGGGCTCAGGGCAGGGGTCCGGCCGGTCCACGTGAGCCGCCTCTGATGCTCGCGCTGCCAACTGCCATGCAGCCGTGCATATACGCCTGCCTGCCTGCCTGCCTGCCACTGCCAGCGTGATGTGGTGCCCCGTGCCCATGCATCGTGCATGCATGCACGCGCTCTGATGCCGCCGGTGAAGCCTGGGCGCCTGGCGGCCCCGGCCGCTGCTGTGTGCTGTCTCGGCACGGCAGTCGTCGGCGTCGGCAAGGCATGCATGCAGCTTTTTCCCCCCTGGCTGGCTCCTCCGGGACAGCGCGCACGTTTGCTTCACCATTTTCGTCCTGGCCCGTGCGGGATTTTGGCGGTTCCGCGGTGGAGTCCGCCTGCCTGACCATGGCATGGCTGCCGCTGTGCAGGGGGCAGAGTTGACGGCGAGCTTACCACATTCCAACAAACCCTGCTGAATGATTGAATGTACTAGTACTACTGTAGTACTTAATTATGTGTAGTACTACAAGACAATAACCTTTGCCCTTCCTAAAAATAGCATCCTGAACTTTTTGAATCGAAAAAACTCGAATTAAAGGCATCTTTATCTGGAAACACCGGCACGACGTTGTGTTCCGGGGCCAGCAACCTTGTATAACGCGGCTGCTCGCCGCCTGCCGGGAAGACTGTCTTATGTGGCGATGCCGCCTCCCGTCTCACCTAGTCCAGCAAGCGCTGAAATGGACTGACTTGTTTCACAGGAGTAGAGCTCAGTTGATTATGTAATCTCCTCTTCTCCTGTGATGGGGCATAGTCCCCGAAATGTTTTGTAACTTAAACTGCATTTGTTGCTGCTCTGGCACCCTCCATCTACCGGCTTAGTCCTGGAATCAATGAAAAATCATTCGAGTGAGGCGTTTACCCCTCCCGTGTTTCTTAAAAAAAAAGTGGGCATGGTCGTTGCCCTTATGTAAGCTACAACTGTCCAATGGCTTCTGAATCCTTAGGACTAGTTTGAATCCAGATGATAACAGTTAGCATCTAGCATCTAGCAAGGAGAAGCTAGCTAGTA